ACGTAGCTGAAGTTGCGTACCTTAGTTCGAATTAGGGGGGTAGTGTAGACCAAGCCTAAGAAGGAAAATTACATTGATTTCTGTGCCATCTACACACCTTCTCTGGACTTGGCTAGGAGATTCTTGATCATGATTCCTTCATTCCTTCTTTTTTTCAAAAGGTACTTGCACAGTACTTTCCACATATTAGAATTCATTTTATTGGTTAAACCAACTTATGATCTCATATTTCAGTGTTTGAAAACACTTTTTACTTGCTATTGTTAGTCTTTTCATCTGAAAGTGTTTATCATACCCCATATGCAATGTGTTTATTAGAGATAGGCCTAAAGTCCAAAATTTAGATCCACATTTCGAAACTCTACCAATATTTGTGAGAGGGTTGGATTGCGGGTTTTGGTTCAGCTCACTGGATCTATTCAGATCTAGATCCAAATTCAAATTCCAGAACCTCTATCCCAAAGTTTGAGATCGTCCAGATACAGGTTTTTAGTTCAAGCTATCTGCAGTCCTTATGTTGTTCACTATTTTATCTACTTTGCTCATTTAAATGTTCATGTCAGTGTACATCTGCTGCTCTAGTCTTCTCATTTAAACTACATATTTAAACATTTTAAATAACAGGCCATACTGAATAAAATAGAAATGGTTTCTTCTTAAACAGGAAGAAACAGGCCTTCTGTTCCAATGAATCATGTGGAAACACACTAATTGGCATGTAAGCAAGGTCTCAATATTGCAAGAGGCTGAGTGCCCTCAGTTGTGAAGTCACTTGAAAGGAGCTGAGGGAGGCTCTTAGCACCTTGGGTTGGGTCCCAAGTGATTTCATGATCAAGTGAGACAGAGAACAACCCTAACAGCTGATAGCAGGTCCACACATAAAGTAGTAAACAAACTGTCAGTCACAAGAGTCAAGTCTCTTCTTCAAAATTAGAGTAAAGTATGATGCAGCATCTTGCTAACAGAGAGGGGAAAAATGCAGCATTTTTATCCATATGAAAGCCTGTAGAATCACAAAGCACACTAATAACAATTACTGCACATTTCTCATATATTGGGGGAAAAAATCTATTTAGCAAGATCCATAATTAAAGCTGTATAAACATGTCAAATCCAGTCTAGAGTAGGAATGTCTGAGCTTAATTTGCTTAATTTCAAACATCATGGATTTGAAAGTTCATTTGAGACTTGAGCAATATTGGATTTACATTCCACTTAAGAAAGAAGTAAAAACAGAAGCAGAGAGGGTGCTCAGTGAAACAATCCAATGGAAAATATATCATACATAATATCACCTATAGAGTGTATTCTCTTAGTGTATGCCAGCCTATAGCTTTGAGGGGAGTGGGGTGTTCTATGGTGAACAGATAACTCAGGCTTCCCTTTAGTTAGAACATAGGTGGCTGTTGTTCATTCGTTTTTTTGGGTTTTTTTTTTAAACTAAATAGCTTCGGGGAGGAGGAGGATAGAGGGATTAGGGGTTTAAATATCAGAGCAGTGATCACAAATTTGTTTTACTTTTGTGACCCTAAAAATTGCTGCAGTAGCTCAGAAATCCTCGAACTCCATAAGAGTCACCTGTTCTAATCTGGAGTGCTTTTGAGCAACATTTACTTCAATATATGCTTAGATATCAAAATATTTCACTTGCTCATTTGATATGCTGAAGAGGACAAATCTAGGGTGTCTACTTACCTTCAATAAACCTCTGTGGACCTCTTCTCTGCAAGTTGGTGTCACTTGCAGCAGAACTACCTCCAAGAATGACTTCACAACAAAGGTGATTCAGCATTTCTGGGGCTGTAAAGTAATTATTGGAAGGACAGTCCTCCAGCATTGCTACCTGTAATAACTATCATTTTTAAAGTGATGCCTTTCATAGGTTAAAGACATTGAAACAAAAGTTCTTGCCAATACGCAGACCAGGTAGTCTCAGCTCTTCACACATCTAATGTTTAGGTTCTCTGTTACATTTCTACTGATGTATTTTTATGCTCAGATGCCTGCATACTGTACTTTATTTTTAGCAGGTATATCAATTTACAGTATTATCATTATCACTGTCTGCTACTTGCTAAAGTAATACTTACAATATGTGCAACACTGAAGCCACAAACATTCCTTACCTGGCCCAGTTTCACATGTTATAGGAAATTGTTCAAGACATGGGCTCGATTGATTGGGATAGATCATTGTTTCTTGGACCCACCAATATGGACGATGGCCAAATAAAATCCTAACAAAAAAGAGAACAGTACATAGTATACAAATACAATAAAAAGATCTCTGAGTAGAAAGGTCCAAGCAAAGTAGAAAGGATAATTCACTTTATGCTATACATGAACATTTTTATTGTTAGAATAATCATACAAATGCTCATTTGTGTTCTTCTTCGCTTACCAAAATGTCACTGTAAACACATCCTCATTTTGTTAAACCTGAATTTTGAAACACGTTGTATTTTATATTTAAAAGGCAAAACTACATAGGTAAATCTACAGGTTACAGGAAGTACTGTAATCTTGAGGCAGCTAAAATCATGCATTACAAAAAATACAAAGTTTTAAAAGAAACACAACTTACCATTTAAATATGAGGTTGAACCAATCTCCAATGACTGCCACCCATATCATTTTAGTACCAACCACTTGGTTAAGTTGGAACCAAAGAGGAAAATAAATTAAAAATATATTCCGGGGATCTCCTACTTGTGACATTAAATTTAGAAAGTCATGGTAAGATCTGTAATCCTTCTGTAAATGCTGAATTATAAGCACACCATTACTATGAAGGAGATCCATCTTTATCGGTTACACTATGCTAAAAAGGAAAGTTCCCGTAATGTTTAGTTCCTAATGGCAAAATTAGAACCATGAAAGGAGAGCTATTAAAAATGAGAGACAATGACTAACATTGCTTTTATATTGTAGCAGAGTGGGGTGTCTGGCCATTCCTGAAACATGTGACTTTCCGCATCTATGAGGAGACACGTGGGTCTGTTAGTGCTGGAAAGCTTTTCTGTTTGCAATTTTTAATTGGAGGAAAAGAGGTGAAGTATATGCTGATCAGCAGCAAATCATGGGGAAAGTTTTGTCGCAACACAATGACTGTCTTATGCAACCCTTTGTATGAACAGTTGGAAAATGTTTGCTTGAATTTTAACACAGTTCATTTCTCTGAAGGATGGACACTAGTAATTTGTATGCTTGATTAAGTGTTGCCCTTATAAAGACTAGAAAGAATTCATGATTAATTGGTCTAAGCAGAAGAGTCATTAAATTTGTGCATTTTAATTTGAAATAGAATGTGGCTATATTGCTGTATTTATTACTTAGCACGACACATGTTTTAAATTGTGATTAAATCCAATCAGCAGACATAAATTAAAAAAAGAATTTTAAATGACAGGTTGCTTTCTAAAGTGATACTTTTCCCAAAGAGTTGAAAAAATAATTATTTATTTCCTTTACACAAGATACCATGTTAACTGAGGACACATTGAGGATGGATTTTTTTGGTATGAATTAACACAGAATAATGATGGTATTGACTGGAGTGATTCAGAGGATAAAGCAGGGGCTATGCAGTCTACTCTGCCAAAGCAACTCAAGCATAACCTTCTGCATCCTTAAATTCTTTTGCATAGTCTAATATGAATGCAATAAAGGGATAGTAGATCTTAAACAAGTAATATTTTGCAGAAGCTGTTTTTTAATGTTTAAATATATACTTTCTCTGAGGAAACAAAAAGTGGACCTGAACCAAAACTCTAGCTCTGACCTATGTACCTAATGAATAGGCAGAACTAAAGGCCCAATCCAACGCCTACTGAAATCAGTAATAGAAAGACTCTCATTAACGTTTGGCCCCTATGGGTATGCCTATACTGCAATAAAAGACCCACAGCACAGCTGCAACTGACTCGGGGGCTATTAAATTGCAGTTTAGACGTTTGGGCTCAGGCTAGAGCAGCGGTTCTCCAACTGTGGGTCGCAATCCAATTTTAATGTGGTTGCCAGGGCTGGCTTAGACTTGCTGGGGCCCGGGGCTGAAGCCCAAGCCTCACTGCCCAGGACTGAAGCCTAAGGGCTTCAGCCCTGGACATCAGGGCTCAGGTTACAGGCCCCCTGCCTGGAGCTGAAGCCCTTGGGCTTGGGCTTTGGCCCACCCACCCGAGGCAGCAGGGCTTGGGCAGGCTCAGACTTAGGTCCCCACTCCTGGGGTTGTGTAGTAATTTTTGTTGGCAGAAGGGGGTCACGGTGCAATGAAGTTTGAGAACCGCTGGGCTAGAGTCCAAGTTCTGAGACTCAGTGCCATGGGTCTTTTTTAAAATCATAGTGTAGACATATCCTAAAACGGCAGATCCCAATATTCCCAAACATGGAGAATAGGGTGGGGTTGAAATCTGGGTCTAAATCAAAGTTCAAGGTGCTTGGATTCAGTCCTTTCTAGAAAGAAGTTCAAGCTGTGAATTCAAATCCAAGTTTATGGTTTGGATATAGGACTTTGGTTCAGTCCCATCTCTAATTTTAAAAAAGAAATGTAATCTCTTTCTTCACCAGAGACACATTTAGGGTATTTAAGACATTTCTTTTAAACATTTCCTAAACTGATTATTAGTTCTTTGAGGTTTTGGGTTATTTTTCAAGTGAATTAGTATTGTTGAAATTGATATCCCTAAAGAACTAAAGAAAGATCCAGCAGGGGCACAGTAGAGCAGCCTTTACCACACTGCCCTGCCACAGTGCCTCAGCCATGCTCTGAGGGACCACTTCTAGACTAAGAGCACATCACATTTCATAGCCACGGAGTTCTTGATCTTTCTGTGTAGACTGCCCGCAGGTGCCAATTAATGCCAACTGAGGTGACTAAGGAAGGACTTTTTGGAATCTGGTCCCTTGTCTACTATACAGAAACCACCAACTGATTTACTTTGAGTCATTTACCAGTCCTGGTTGGATTCAGAAGTGAAACTTGACCCATTCAGCCTCCCCTTACCAGCTCTTTTTATGTGCTACCAGTCCCGCCTAAGATTGCCCAGCACTTCCCATTATAAGACCCTGTTTTCAATTGCTTCTAAATTTGTCAAACCTGAAATTTTCCATGCTGGGTGTCCGCCTCAGGCTGAATTTCTTTTTGAAAAATTTCAGCTAAAATGGTTTCACCATTTCTGAGAACAAGACTAGGGGGAAATACATTGTTTTACCCATATTAAAAAATGCTGGTGACTTTCTGTTTGGAAAGCTCTAGCTACCCCGTGCTTTGAAGCAAGGACTTGAAATTCAGCAGGAGGGGGCCCTGGTGTCAGGGATATTCCTTTTGCCATCTCTGTAAAAATCCAACCAAATTTGGCCAAATAATAAGGCTTTTGAAAAATTGTACTTCACACATGCTCAGTAGAGAGTTCTTAGATTCTGTACACACTGAGCATGCTACAGCTCAGGGTGGAGCAGGACTTTACCTGTAATTGCAACTCTGCCCTGCTGCAAACCATGCCAGGTCTGGGCCCCAAATAGAGAGCAGGGGACCTGTGTCTCTCCTGCTCTTTTCTACTGTACTTTCAATAACCCTCTCCTCCCCCCACTTGGTTCAGGCAACAAAAGAGGAGGAAGTTGCTGCATTCGAATGCAGAAGGAAGAAGCAGCAGACCTACTGGGGAGGTGGGGGAAGTAGATTGGGACAAGGAGCCTTGGGGTAGGGGGAGGGCTGGAGCCTGATTGGGTGATGAGGGAAACTGAGACTGGGAGTTTAGATGGTAGGGGGACTGGGACTGGCTGGGCAAGGAGACTGGGAAAATTAGGTGGGCAAAGATTGGATGATGAGCCCAGTAAGGGAGACTGGGACTGGGATCCAGTGGGGACAAAGAATGTGGGATAGGAAGGCATGACCAGAGGCAGGATGTGGGAGAGAACACATCAGAAGAGGAGCCAGAATGGGGAAACTGGAATAGCTGGGCAAGGAGACTGGTACTGGGATGGGAGTCTGGAGGGTGAGACTAGGACTTGCTTGGCAAGAAGACTGTGACTGGGATGCAAAGCCTGAGAAGTGGAGAGTGGGACTGGTTCAAATTTTTTCCAATTAAATGTTTTTCCATTGCAAAATGCCATTTCAACAAAATCAAAACTTTCCACAGGAACATGCTGATTTCGACATTTTAAAAATAAAATTGAAAAAAACTGAAAAATAGCAAATTGACCTTAATGGAACAAAATATTTTGATTTTTTGTTTTGAAATGACTTTTTATTTAAAATGAATCAGGTTTGTCTAATTATGGTTGTTGTGTGTAGGACCCCTGCTTCATTTGTTGCAGAAGTTGGAAGTTGTGTAGGGAATGAGCAGGGTATTGCATGAAGGGAAAGGACAGTCTGACGATTGGCAATAGAATGCTGCCCTGGAGGTTGGGATTCTGTCTCTGCCATGGATTGGGTGACCAGATAGCAACTGTGAAAAATTGGGATGGGGGCTGGGGGGGTAATAGGTGCCTATATAAGACAAAGCCCCGAATATCAGGACTATCCCTATACAATCAAGACATCTGGTCACCATAGCCACGTAGTTCCTATGTGATGCTAGCCAAGTTACTTAAAACAAACTTTTCATAGGAGGTCACTAATTTTTGTTCTTCATTTAATGGGTACCTGACTTTAAACCCTTGGCCTGATTTGCAGTAGTGCAGAACGCTCACAGCTGCAACTGAAGTCAATGGGAGCTGGACTTTGAATATATAAAGTGCTATACAATACTAAGGACTCTGAAAAATCAGGTCCTAGGCATCTCAAATGGAGTCCAAAAATTAATGGATACTTTTGACCTTAATCTGTCTGTGCCTCAGTTCCCCATCTGTAAAATGGGGATAATAATACCCACTTGAGCTCACAGAACCATTGTGAAGAGAAATTGTTTGTTTGTGAAGCACTCGGCTACTATAGTGATGAGTGCCATAGAAAAGGAGGAAATTAATGAATTAATAATTCTGTGTTCTGAGCTGGTTAGAAGACTGTGCAGTAAAAAGGCCTGGGCCACACACTGAGCAATGAGGAGAAAACAAAATATTTAATAGATGCTCATTAAGTGAGCACTGTCCATCCTATGAACTGTATGAGTCAGGCATTCTTAGGAAACAATAGTATGTGATCATGTAATTAAAGTCTGCATCATAATGAATAAGCACAAAGGGGCTGAATTAAGGTTGCACAAGCAACCTTAATTCTGGTATTCGCTAAATTTTTAGTGCTTGATTGTGCAGTTTTCATAATGTTCTTTTAACAAAGATTTTGTGTGTGTAATACTTACATATATTTGCAGAGAGAAAATGGTACACAACTTTAGTATATTTTAGTGACTATAAAAATGGGACAGAGGCACAACTTAGCAAGCTTTCTCCACGAAGCTCTGCCAATGCATCTCATACTAGAGTCACAAACACAAGCATTACAGATGCACTGAGATTTCCTGTAGGAAAAATGTATTATACCAACTTGTGCTGTGACTTTGTAATCAGAACCAATATTCTCTCTCAGGCTGTTAACAGAGACCATCACACTTTACACTTGTGAATTAAAATCTGATCAGGTCAACAGATGGTAACAACTCATTACTTTATCACCAGAATACAGTACAGACTCAATTATTACGAACTCCCTTTTATCTGAAACGGGGTTATTTTCCCTGGCATCTATGAATCACATTGAAAAATCCCTAAATTGCTTGAAATCCCTATTGCCCATCTACAGTCAGTGTCTCCCCATGATAATCAGATGATCAATGTTACAGAAACTACAGAATTAAACTCTGGGAACAAAAGCAGCTGCACACAAGGCACTGTACCTTTCCCTAATGGTGCCCTACTACACTGAACTTTTCAAGCCAAGCTGAAAAAAGCAGTGGAGGCTTTGGTCAAACCTACTTACCTTCAAGTTTTTGCTGAAGAGAGCTTTAAAAGTCAAACATATTCTTATGATGTGCATTCAACGAAATCACGTGGAAAATAATAAGTAGATCTAACAAATAAGAAGGTATGATTTAAATGGACATAAAGGACCTCTTTTACCCACTGCCATCTCTCATTTACTTTAGCTATTAAGAGTCTATTTTTAGACGCTTTTTAGCAGATTCAGATCTGAGCCTGTTTATTGCTCCTAGCTTCACTGAGCCATATAGAAAGCAATAAAGTACCGAATCATGATTCTGACTTCTCTGTGCTGTTTCTGAGTAGAATTAGTGTTACATGATTTACAATGTCCATTTGCTCCTACAATTTCTCCTCCTATATTAGTGCTGCTGAATGGTCCATTTCAATTTGTACCACATGATATCAACACACATTTTCTCTAACAAAATCCTCTTAAAAAATAAAACTTCAGGATAATTCAGCAATAAATATTTAACAGCTTCTTGGATGCACAAGACATGGAAATTTCAGAGTCAGCAAATTAGCTGTCCCAAAGTAGCCTTTGTTATTTGGGGGTTTTTGTTTCATGCTCAGCCCAATTGCTTGTAGTTCTGAAGCAGCCTGAGAGGTGGACTGGTCATATAAATGAGATACTAATCCTGATTCACGTCCTCCGTGTTGGTTGAAAATCTCTCTCTCTCCCAAGTAATTATATAGCATAATTAGGGTAATCATTATTCTCTCCAAAGGTTAGAGTAACTCTCCCTCATAAGGTAGACAGGCTCGCCAACAGTAAACTCCAATTCTCCAAAGGACATTTGGGTTTAGTATGAAGAAAAAAATATGATAACCAATTCTTCTGCTTTTATATGTACTGCTGGTTTAGAAATATTAGTTAGCTTTAAATCTCAGTGCAAATGTCACGTGACAGTAGGTGGTGCTTTGGCAGCCATCTTGATTCTAGTACTTAGTTAAAAGAGCTCTAAGAAGTTATTATTCAGTAACTGTTGCCCTGTTAACAAAACTGTTTGACAGCAAGTAGGTTTACAGCATTCTGGCACCTGTCAAGGTACAAGATGACGTCAGGAGACACTTTTCTGCAGCTACAAACAAGCAATAAAGCCCGTCTTATTCCAGCCATAC